ATAATGAAAAACATGACTCAATTTTATGAAATAAGAAGCTTATAAAGGGAGATGGATCCTTGGTTCTAATGATTCTGCATCACTCCTACTCACAAGAGGTTCACATCCTTGCAAAACCTTCAAGAAGTTGAGCATGATTAAAACATGCAACTCAATTTGAGAAAATGTTGAAATAATGTTGAATCTGTGGCCAGCAGCATTTTGTCTTCTTCAACATTCTGGCAATTCGTGGGCAGTAACTTTTCTTCTACAATAATTCAACAAGTCATGGTCATCAATTTTCTATTTCTGCTGTGTAGTTAATTATGGATTCCATAATTGAAGGCTGATTTTCAAATTCGTTTCTTTATTAGATAATTAATATAACTTCTTTTATACATATAAGTAATAAGGGAATACAATTCAATTATAAAATTGTTGACTGTAACCGCTCATTCCACCGACATATCCAAACGATACAACCGCTCCATTGCCGACTTACCCACCGCCTCATTCACGACATAAAAACAATGCTCCCTCTCATTCGGACGACACGCACACTCACACACGCATACACTCTCAGAACCACAAGGAATTGCAAGCAAAGAGTTTGGCGACTTATAGTATAATATTATATAACATAATGTTATAATATAATATTATATTAAGTATAGTATAATATATTTAATATATGATATTATATACAGAGAGGAATAATATAATATTATGTAATATAATAATAATAATAATAACATTATTATTATTATTATTATTATTATTATTATTATATAATATTATATTTATAATATAAAAATAAAAATAAAATAAAAAGTGAGATGGAAAGAAAGGAGAAATTTTTCAAACAGGTGTCGAAGACCCCGGCCGTCGTACCTTAGGTCAGACCGGGATGGTTTGAAATTGAAGACCTGCGCCGTTGATTTTTAATCTGGGCAGATTGTTTTAAAATTTGAAGACTTCACACAGTCGATCTTAGATCCTGGTGAGATGGTTTGAAATTGAAGACCTTACGCCGTCGACCTTAGGTCCGGGTAGAAAGAACTACGGCAGTGCCGTCCCGATGTCTCCCTCGGTGGGGAGGAGACGCCGGGAGGTTGCCGAAATTTTCATTGAACAATACGGGACTTGGACAAAAAATTAAAAAATTGATTTGAACATAATTCAAATTTAAAATTAATTTTAAATAACAATTGATCAAATAATGTTTGACCTAAACTCGAAATGGACTCAAACTTGAACTCGAACCATACTTGCACTCAACATAATTATAAGAACTTAAACTTCAATATGCCACTTGGAATTGTATTTAAACTACAATATAAAGAATTTGACTTGAATGATCAAATCTATCATACACATTGAACTATCCTTAAAGATGAAGGATTTATAATTATAACTTGTTTGCAAGAAACAAAAGCTTCTTTTGGGAGAATAACTTGACTACAAAGCCATAGTATGGGAGTTCTTTGGACCTTGATAGACCTCTTTCAACATTGAACATGATATGTCCTTAAATAACAATTGAGGAAACACTTTGAAATGCAAATCTCCGATCGACGTAACACTAGTGATATCTACAAATATTTATAAACCTAGTGCAATAAATACTACAAATCCTCTCAACGCCATCAGATCTGCAACATGTGTACAAGCGGACAGAAGGCGTTCGTAGGCCCTTAATTAAAATATCGAACCATTTTCTAAATGAAAATACTTGTACAATGGATCATATTTAAATATTTTAAAATACCTCTTATGTGTTAAATATAATCCCTTAAATTAAATCCGCCCTGCATGTGCTCCGGTCAACATGTTAAAAGTATAAACACTAATGACCGAGAATGCTGCGCAGGGTCAAATGCTACAACCCGCATGTGTTCCAATCGTCATATCTAAGTCCCAAATTCAACGATTCGAGAATGTTGCGCGGGTCTATATTCAAGTTTCATCCTCCTCCTTGAAAGGACTGGAGTCGACACAAATTGAATTATGAAATGCCTCCCAATATCCTACGAAAATACAAATGACCTTAATAACAGATGATGGCCGTGTTGATCGAAAATCTCAACCGGAGGGGTCAAATCTCAAACCAAACAAGAGCTCAAACTCCTGAGATAAAATCTATCACTGAAAAACTTAAAACTAAAAATCATCCACCTCCCGCAACCGTTTGTCGGGGGTGATAAATTTGAAATTAACCTCAGCTCACAAAGAGCGAATGTGTGTCGGGTGTATCACTACGATTCATCCTCAAACAGTCTTTTGCCAACATGGACATGGCACATGCCCTCTGATCGGGTGGTTTTGCCGCAAAATGGCACAATTATATTACGATCACGGCCAAAGCCCGTATGTTCCCTAAAGGTGTCAAACCCTTGAGCGATGGATCGTAGGGTATATTCGATAGGCATCAAGCCCTCTGTCAGCTAAGGTGGATTTAGATATATCCCCTTAGACAAACACCAATCCAGGTCTACAAGGTATTCTTGGACGAAGCAACCCATGGCTGCCGACAAGGTACCTTATGTCAGGTTGGGTCGACTACCTCCTCTGACTAAGAAAACTTTATGGTAGAGGAAAAGCAAAGAAATAAGTATTACCTTTGCACCAACCAAGAGATAAAAAAAGATCCATGATACGAATTGTAGAAGGTTTGTCCACTGTGGAGACATTGATTTTTTCACTCATTCTTGCATCATTAAACATACAAAGCAAGGGTGATATCCAATAGAGCTCAAAGGAACTTGGCTCAACTTTAATTAAAAATTTTGAATTCAAACTTGACTCAAACACGGTGGAAGTTGAAATTATTTCGAGTTGTTGCAGCCCAATTCAATATTTCGATGCTAAGTCGGCTCAACTTAAATTTTGATTCGACTCAAAATTTTTTTTAATTAGTTATATACATAAATATACACATTATACTATATATCATATTTATATTATATAGTTGTAAGACATTTAATCTCAGTCGACTCAAATTACATTCGAGTGAGGTGGGCAACTTGAAATCTATTTTAGTTTTGCATGGAACCTTAAATTGGCTCAAGCCAATTTTGATTCGTCGAAGTTTGAGTGAGTTTCAAGTTTCGAGCTTTTCTAATAGCCCTAGTGATGAAGGATTAAACCCTTTATATAGAGAAGAGTAGGGGGTGTGCATTTGGTCAATTTGATGCAATTAATTAAACCAGCTGGTTTCAATTTTGAAATTTGAAAAATTGAACCATCCAAACTATTTTCTAAATCAAAATTAACTAAACAAAACTTCAGCTCAATCAATACGATTTGATTTTGGATGAATTGAAATATAATTAACTTTGAAAAGGAATCTACTTACCTTTAGCTTAAATAATATATATTGAGAACAATCCCTAATATTTTTTGGTAAAATTTAGGCTTTTAGCATATGAAATTGATCTTTTGTTACTTGTTTTTTTATAGTTCATGGGTTTTTTTTTCTATAATATTGGAGCAAAGTAGTGAAATTCAATTTTTGGTTTGATTATTTTTTCAAAAAGAAAAAAAAAAAGAATCAAAATGACCAAAACCCCAAGAAAATTAAAATTACAACCAATAAGTGAAACGAAATGTTAACATCTGAACCGAACTAACCAATATATGTTTGATTCAATTTTTAGGTTTTATCCAAAAAATGCAAACCTCTAGAAAAGAGAGCAATCAAAAAAAAAAAAAAAAAAAACCCATAAAAATACAAATAATGAAAAACATGACTCAATTTTATGAAATAAGAAGCCTATAAAGGGAGATGGATCCTTGGTTCTAATGATTCTGCATCACTACTACTCACAAGAGGTTCACATCCTTGCAAAACCTTCAAGAAGCTGAGCATGATTAAAACATGCAACTAAATTTGAGAAAATGTTGAAATAATGTTGAATCTGTGGCCAGCAGCATTTTGTCTTCAACATTCTGACAATTCGTGGGCAGTAAATTTTCATCTACAATAATTCAACAAGTCATGGGCATCAATTTTCTATTTCTGCTGTGTAGTTAATTATGGATTCCATAATTGAAGACTGATTTTCAAATTTGTTTCTTTATTAGATAATTAATATAACTTCTTTTATGCATATAAGTAATAGGGGAATACAATTCAGTTATAAAATCACCTATTTTATATTCTCTTTTCTCATTCTAATTTCCAAATTTTTTAAATGTGATCTTGAGAGCATGCACTATCAGTCTAGAGGATAAAGAACTGATGCATGTCAATCAGTTGATTTTTAAACAAATGTGGAAGGGCAGTTTTTTTCTTAAAATTATTCCTAGTTTAAATAAATTTCAAATTTGAATAACTTGGATATGAGTTGACCATTGAGATCCCAAGTTGGGGAAGATGTTTATGGTTTCTTGTTCTCCATTTCAATATTTTGATTTCTTTTTTTTCCCTTAAAATTTGGCTGAGATTATTATCAAAACAAGCTAGACTATTTTGATGTGTCGAGAAACTGATGACAAATGTAAAAAAGACGGAAATGCTGAGCAGAAACAGACAGTGCATCTGATTTTGTGTTTTTGAAAAAAAAAAACCAGAAAATCGTGACTTCAGGACCATTCGATTCTTTAATGGCATTGTCATGTAATCTGCCAATGTAATCATTTCTATAACCTCTGCACAAAAAGCTTTTTTCATTAAATTTGAGTCTCATATTGACGATTGATGTGGTGGAGCATCATAATACTTTCTACTTGATACAGTGTGGACCCACATGAAAAGCAAACAAAGCTTCACCATAGAATTTTAGAAAATATGAGTTCAATCTTCAGAATTATTGCTTTTGTTGTATAAATAGTGGGTTAATATCTCCGGACTGCATCACAACAAAACCTAGTCGTCAAAAGGCAATATAGAATCACATAATATGTCTATGAGTTTTATAACTCATAGCATAATTTCTACATTTTATTTTCAGAACGCTTGCTATCAGAACATGAGGAACGATGCAAAGGAATGGACTTATAATTGTTTGTTTGCTTTGCAGACTTCAGCAGTACAGGATAGTGGAAATGAAACTTCTGGCACAACAGAGAGATCTTCAGGTATTCTCCACTGCCCCTCATTTGTTTCTTCTTACCAGGCTTCTTATTTCAAAATTTTAAGTAAATTAATCAGATGGCATGAATTTTTTAGAACAAATTGTGCTTATGTAGTCTCTTAGGGAGATTGTTATGTAAAAAGCTGTAGGAATCTGTTCTTTCTAAAAAGTTATTCTGATTGCTGTAAATGTCTATTTGGTGCTCCATACGCTGAATTGTTATTTATTATGCAATCACAGGCAAAAATACCTGATATTGAGAAATGCTTAGATATTGTTTCCACCATACAAGCCAAGAAGGGTTCTGGTGAGGTATGGAAATCACTTTGGGCAATTCAATTTTTATTATGTTTTCAATTTAGTAGCCTTGTTTATGTTTCCATGTATTTTTTCCAAATGGACAGGCTTTTACATATTTTTAACAAAGCTCGTTCTCTAATTTAGTATTAAAACTTTAAAGTGAGGTTGAAATGGTGGCTTTTTTGGAGATTAGTGGTGCCTTTATTTTCAAGAAATTTAACTATTTTACGGGTGCATATTTGTGCATGGCATTTGAAATGTTAATAATTATTCTAGAGTTACATAACAATCACTCTGGGCTTTGAAACTATGTGCCCGGATCTTCTATAATTCAGAAGATAAATTGAATTGTAGATAAAAGACAATATCAGAGATTTTGACAATATTTTGCAAGGATTTTAAGATCTTATTTCAGGTTTCTCATAGGCATAATCACGTGGTTAACTACCCTTCCAATCTTAAGAGAGAATTTTTAGTTAAGGCTAGTTGGTAAGCACTAAATACACAATGTATAGGAGCAACAATTTTAGTTTATGATTGAGAAATTTATTGCTTTTAACTAACAAAAGATTGTCGGAGAAATGGTGACAAATCCAATGAAGATCCCATAGTTTGCTCATGGTTATTATGGACTCTAGTCTATTTAGTCAGTTGAGGTAATTAGCCTAATTTGACCAAAAAATCATTTTCGTTAGTCATGAGTTGCTTTGTTAAAGAGTACCTTATAGACCTAAGGTGGATATTTTTATGTCTAAGGAGATAATTTCAAGTCAATTATAGTTAATAGAGAGCTTCATGTCTTGTTGAGTGCACCTCATAACTCACCACTCAAGGTATTTGGGCCATGGAATTGTGGGCTTTGGCTTTGACTATAATTTAATGGTGTCATTTTACGATGAACAACTCATTTAGAATGCCTCGTTCATAATCTATCTTTGTGGTATCATTTAGCAGCAAAACCATGGTGTGAAAAGACATGTGCCATATCTTAATGCCATGGGATTATTGAGAGTGATTATAGAGGTATACCTAATATGATATTAGTTCTTTGTCAACTTAAATTTTTCTTAAAGTTGTCACCCTCAGTAAACTATTGCGAAGAGTGGGTGGATTTTTGCTTTAATCTTGGAGGTGGATCATATATCATCGAGCTTTAAGCCCAATGTGGCTAGTTTGAGATTTGGGCGCATCTGTATAATATAATCCCCTCTAGCTAAGATTTTTAGTTATCATGACTATCATTGTGGTATTTGAATGATTTTATTTTTTTGAATTGGATTTTGTCGACTCTACTAGCTTGCTTGCAAATGATCTGGTTCACAAGTTTGCATTATGTAAGTATGTTTAGGCATTCAATGCATTACATATCTCACTGACTCTACTATCATACGTAGAGGATTAGATTAGTGGGCTATCACTTGCGATTATTCTTTGTAAGTACTACATCAAGAGTTTGCATTTAAGAAAAGAAAATTTGACATTGAAGGCCTTACGCAAATTTTTTAAAAAATATCTTTGCGAGAGTCATGCACAGATATTTGATTGCAAATTTTCTTGATTACAAAAAATATATCTTAATTATCGTTACAATAATTCATCAGGGTAAAGTTTTTTAGTAAGGTGACACAAAGGATCAAGGGTGAGGGCTTGAAAAATTGGGACTTACAACTCTGCTCTATGGGTAGGGCGGCCGCTTGAGTGCATGAATAATTTGATGAGTTTGAATTTGACTTTTGAAAGGTAGTTTGAATTTTTCAAAATAATTACAAACCTTTCAAAACATTTGCATGCTTCTCAAAAGAACTTCAAATATGTCTGGTTTTAAGTCCGCACAATATTTTCTAATTTTAAGTTTAACTGTTTAGCATATTTGTCGGATTATATGCAAACCAATTTACTTTTGATGTGCTTGCATGATTTTTGATGCTGACATTTGAGTTAGAGATTGCCTCGTGACGTTCATAGAGGACTTAGGATTATCTGGACTGCATTGTTTGCCCGAGTATTGGTCAATAAAATTTACGCAAAATTTTCATTTTGAGTTTTGAAGGATGGCATTCGGACCACTTGCCTGTCTGTGTTGTAGATCCAATTGCAATCTCGGTTCTTATTCTATATTTAAAATAGTGTATTTTGTTGATTGCATTTAGATCACATTGGTGTTCAAATAGACCCCCACAAGGTTGCTCCCTCACCTTTCAATTGAGCCTCTTACTTGTTCATCTTCATGTTCTGTTATGGTTCATGATTTTGATTGTTCTAGAAGTCAGTGAGAGGATTTATTCATGTTCATTGGCAAGCGACTGAGTTTTCCACTGTCCAATTCTCTATTTAATTTTCTGTTCAATTTCGATTCTTGTAGTTCTTTCTACATAACTTATGTATCATTTTAAATGTCAATTTAATTATCATTTTGCAATTATCATTTTTTTTTGTTTTAGCCGTGCTTTTGGGTATAGAGTTTTATTTAAATATTGTTCTTTTCAAGTGCGGTCACAGCAAATTTCAGGGTAACCTGCCACATCTTTCTCACATAAGGGGCATTTGGAGAGTGCTAAGCCTGCTTATCATGCTTAAAGAATGCTTGCATGGTTAGTGTTTAAGACATGTTCGAAGCTTCATCACACCACGCTTAAAAAACATACATGGTGATGTCAGTGAAAATTTTTTAGTGGCATGTTTGCCTTGCATGCATAAGGCGATGTTGGCAAAGTTTTTATGACAAGATGACAAAATTGGCATGGTGAACCACTTTTTTTGGAAATTTCTATTCTTTTTACCCTTATTTTATTTTTCTTGATTTTTTTTTGTGGAAGACTTTTTGCTTTTTTTTAGGAAGAGAAAGGAGAGAGAGGTTTAGAGAGGAAGAGATAGAAAGAGTGCAATAATGAGATGACAGGTATTCAGTTTGCTAAGAATGAAATCACAGGAGTCCGAGTTGAGAAGCTGAGCCCACTGGTGGGTGTTTTGGTGAGCTTGATGGTGGATCGTGAGGTTCTCAAAGTTGGTAGAGCAAGTGTTGGTTTGGAATTGGAAGAGGAGCTAAGCAGGGAGTGACGGATTGGTGTGGGTTGTCGGGTGTTAGGGTAGCTGAAGGCCAGCGGTAAGAAGCTATGCCAGGAGCGTGGTTGATGTCAGGTCGAGTAGGAGGCAATCATTGGCATTAGTTGTGTGGAGAGAAAATCGTAAATAAAGAAGCTTTGTATGCGATTGAATTTGAGATAGAAAATTGCCAATAGTTAGCGGATGTCAACTAGTGAGCAAAGAACTATGCTTAGTGAGGCCGGTTGGAGAAGATGGCGATGAATGTTTGTTTGGCGGCATAAATAGAGCCAAAATTTATTTTTAATATGTCAAACAACAAAGATCACAACTTCAAATATTTTAAGATCTTCTATATATACCCGTTTTATCTTAAACCCATATTTTGGGATTGGGTTGGTGTAACTTAAGAACCAAATGTCTTACAAACTCTCTTCTTCTTCAAATGCGACTGGCCCCATTGATGCCCATATTAGTAAGATCTTGTTATGACCTACTTATTTCTTTGATAAGGGGCTTCTTTTTTTTTTGTTCTTTTGGGTCCTGTTGATGCCTTACAAGAGCTCCCATACTGAATTCTTCGTTTCTTATTATTGAGGGTTTCAGGAGTGGGTAGGTGCATAGAGAGAAAATGAGGGAAGGGCGAGGGGCGGAGCTCGGAGCTATTGTTTGGTGAGTGCAAGAATGAGAGAACGGGATATGAGCGAGTTGTGGTTGTCACGACCCGGCCCGACTAGCCCAAATTAACGGGGCGAGGACAGAAGGTCGTACAGAGAACACTTTTAACTTTCATTTCATAAATGACATAAACACAATAATCATTCAATAACAGAATAGTGAAAGAAAGAGTCACTAAACCTCCAAATTGAAATATCTCTAATACATCAAAATATGAAATCTCTTAAATCATAAACTGAAAATATTACAGTAGTCCACGATACATCAACCAACACATTACATAACATGAACATAAAATCCTGTCATCCTGAGATCCTCTATGATGATAGGTAATCGGTCTTTTAGCCATCACTCTCTAACAATCTCTCCTGAAAAACATTCACACAAGCAGGGTGTGCTAACGCTCAGCAAATAACAGGTATTTATCATAAATTCATGAAACAATAAAAACATGACGTTATGCATGAAATTTTCATTTAGAAGAATTTGAGAAAATAAAATTTATACATGACATTTGAAATATATATACTGCATAACCTTTTTCATATACATATTTCTTTAACTTTTTCCTTAAACTTTTTCATTATTCATAAACTTTTTTCTTTCATCATAACTTTTTTTTAAATGCATAAAATGTTTAATCATAATATAATACACTCGTCCCGGAAGTACTATTGTTTTGTACTGATTAGTACACAGTCAAATTTAGTCATTATTTTACCATTTGCTCTGAAGAGCCCCTTTAACATTGACTCTGAAGAGCCCATTTATCATTGGCTCCGAAGTTCAGCTTATGCAATTATAATATATATCATAGGAATTAAGTCATTAAGAAATTCATATGTTTCGAATGTCCTCAAGTTTATCAAGATTTCAGTTAAAGGACATGCCATTTCACTTAACTTTATTTAAAATTTAATGTGACAATAAGTATAAGTGCAACTATTTAGCATTCTATGAATAATAAAAAGGCATCTAATTCTATCATGAGAAGATTGCATGAAAAGGAAAATTGTAAACTAAACACATGTTTTATTTAACATAAAACAAAATTTAGAAACATGAATTTACTTTAAATACAAGTAAGTACCTACCTTAAGAACTACCCAACGTGCGAGGGTACCAGTTCAACTTTATGTGTTTTTCCTTCTCCACTTCCACCTCTTCCGCTTCTAAGATCTAAGAAAACCCGATATAACATAGTTCATTACCCATAAGAAATTCTAATTTCCATAATAACCACTTTAACATTTTTATAATTATTTATATGCATTTTCGGATTTACCATTAAC